ACAGTTTGAGATACTGTTGAGATCTTTTCTGAAACTCTAAAATATAATTTGTATATATAATATATTTTTTCTACTACAGGTCCTCTATTCTTTTTTTTCATACAAATATATAAGTAAAATAATTGTCATATATACAGTTGACTGAAAGTCTGAAAATTGTTCGAATGATGATGTCGGTTGATGTAACATTCATGGGAAAACAACGTCTTTAAATAAATATCTGCCGTTTTGTTTCAAACTTGATAAATCAGAGCACAGTTTGAGATACTGTTGAGATCTTTTCTGAAACTCTAAAATATAATTTGTATATATAATATATTTTTTCTACTACAGGTCCTCTATTCTTTTTTTTTCATACAAATATATAAGTAAAATAATTGTCATATATACAGTTGACTGAAAGTCTGAAAATTTTTCGAATGATGATGTCATCTCATCTAACCACCCCAACAAAAATGAGTTTTCAGTGTAATTTAGAACAGCCTAATAGCATCTCCAAAAACTGGCCATTGTCTCTTTTTGTCTGTGATCTGGAAGGGGTGCGACACCACATTGATCTTCCTCTATTCACAAAAGCCTGGTATTTATTTTTGCTGGATTTCCCTTCGCTTGAGAAAAAGTCCACAAGATAGCTGTATTGATCCGGTGCACTGGACAGCCATCAAACCCAGTCTCTGCTCATCTCAGATGGTGGTCCAGAGCCAGTGTCCGTACAGATATCTCCGCACAACCTGCCAGTGCTGGAACACTGTGCGTTTCCTCTACTGGGAACAAGCGGCCCATTCAAACACCTCAACGAGGCCAGAGATTGACTGAGTCACATGCTTCCCCAGTCCATTATGATGTGTGGAAACTCTCCAATTAACAGTGTCAGTCTGAAGGGAAGTTTGTTGGAGAATGCAGTTTTAAGGCTTGTTCACACCGGGACGAATATCGCGCGCGATTATCACCTACGTTTAACGCCTCGTGACTAAACAAAGGGCGCCAATGTGAGTGTGCACACCGACATGCAAAAC